GTGGCTTAAAGTGTATAGTTATATTTTCTAACGGTTTCATTACACGTGAAATTTAAAACATGGACCTTATGAAAGCAGGTGGCTTAAAGTGTATAGTTATATTTTCTAACGGTTTCATTACACGTGAAATTTAAAACATGGACCTTATGAAAGCAGGTGGCTTAAAGTGTATAGTTATATTTTCTAACGGTTTTATTACACATGAAATTTAAAACATGGACCTTATGAAAGCAGGTGGCTTAAAGTGTATAGTTATATTTTCTAACGGTTTTATTACACGTGAAATTTAAAACATGGACCTTATGAAAGCAGGTGGCTTAAAGTGTATAGTTAAGTTCCCCAGGCAGTTCAACAACAACCTTTCTAGTATCACATGGTGGGTTAAGACGTTGGTGTGAATGGATGAAGGTGTGATTGACTCGATCCAGTTCCTCAGTCAGTTTAACATCAAGCCTTCTAACATCGCATGGTAAGTTAAAACTTTGATGAACATGGCTTTCATGGATGCGTTAGTGGTATGTTAATAAAAATATATTATGATTTCTTATTGGTGGAGGCATTAAGCACACTAAGTACAGAAAGAGCAAATGCACAAAGATGATTCTGACCAAGAGAAAAATTCAAACGAGCGTTGCGATGACATGTGACAAAATGGATAGCTGAATCAGGTCCTATTCTCGACCTTAAGTTGTCTTCTTGAAACCTGTTTCTTCTCTGATAATCGTTCCATCTGTGGTCGTTTAGTTTATACTAAATCCACGGGCAGTGGACTTGGTAAATCCTAACAACTACACTGTTAAAGGACATAAAGAGTCATAGCTTAACTTCTACGATCTTCTTCAGGTGTTCAGTGTACAGACGAAATACATGACATACAAATTGAGCTCCGCAACTGGTTTCGTGTTTGCCATGTTTACAACACGTTGAAAGTATGAACGTCAGTAAAAAGCCTCTTCCGTCACCAGTAGGTGCGATAACAGTAACCAAGACATTAATGATAACAAAAACAACAAATCAGCAAAGGACTCAATATGAAGACGATACTTTTTTTTTTTTTTCAGGACGAGCAGCACCTGAACATTTTCAAACAGGATACGTGAAACGGGCACATAATTGATAATATAACAATTGCTGAAAAGGCATTCTGGTGTAATATTTGAGATCGATTTAAATTCAATTTCCCCTGCAATATTGGTGTATTGTATAATCGTTCAGCTGTAAGTATTATAGGCATCATGCACGTGACGTCACAAGTTTCTGGTTAGAGGAATGAGACGCCATATTGGATGGAGAATCAAAACATACAAAGTATACTGATAATTATCAATTGTTCTCGAGAACAAACATGGCGGACAGTTATTGTGCAGTTAACTGCCACAGTAATGGTGTTGATGCATCAAATCCACCGTTTTATAAAATACCTACCATCTAAGTTGATCCACTTATACACGCTCAATGGATCACAGCACCTACAATCTCAGTTGATCCACTTATACACGATCAATGGATCACAACTATTATGTCGAAAGGGTTTGTTCATCACAATGTAAGATTTGTTTCTCAGTTGTTCCTTTTTCTCATAGACAAATGAAAACCAAGCAATCATCTGCCTATGATATTCATTATATACAATGTACTCATCTATCTTATAATCAAGCACAATGAATACAGAAAATATGGTTGGTGGGGAATTCACTCCCGGTATTATCACTCCCTATGCATTTCACTCATTGTTAGTTCAATCCCTGTAATAATTTGTTAATGTCAAAAATATGTTTTAGTATTCCAAAATCTGACCTAAATTCTTCTTGCTTGATAAAGTCCAGAAAACAAGATGGACTTTTTACGAGGAATAGCTCATAACTTGCATCACTTTTAATAATTTGTAATAAATGTTACTTTTATTGTTGATTATTATTTCACATTAATAATTTATTACAGGTAGTGAACTAACAAGGAGCGAAATTACAAGGGGTCAAATTACCGGTCACCAGAAAATATAACATTTTTTTCCTTGAGCACGTACATGGAAATTTTAATGTCGTATTTCGTATTTATCAAGGAAACAGAATTTGTTTTTTGTTCCTTAAGAAAACAATTTCTATGTAAATATTGTATTCTTTAAAGTCTTTACGGGCTTTCAACTATAATCTAAGGTGAAATTTAGCAGACAGTTGTAAATGTTTCAGTACCTCAACTCCGGTCATGTTAGTCCCAGGTAGCTGTCACATTTTTTAATCCTTGAATATTGTTCTAGGGATCAAATATGGATCATTTATCTCTATTAGATGAAACTTTTTTTAAGTAGATAGACTTACACGCCTTTTTACGTGATTTATTTCAACTGAAAATAGTGAATTTATTGAATTTTCCACTGATACTCGTACTTGTTGAGAGGTTATTATCGGTGTAATTATGCTATGAATTTTCATCCCACGTGGCTCCAGAAACAGATTTCAAGTGTAATAAAACCATTAGAAAATAGGTGGGTTAAGACGTTGGTGTGTATGGATGAAGATATGATTGATCGATCCTGAGTCTCAAACAGTGTTTAAGTTACAAGGTCTTAACCGTCTTTATGTTCTGTTTTCACTTATATTCGATCTATTTAGAATCAAATTTCGACGATCATATATTTGCATTTAATTATTATTTTTTTTTCTGTATGTGTTAATTTATTTTAAGTTAAAGATATGTTACTGCACCTCAAACATTCCGATATAAAATCATAAAAAAATATTCAACGTTAAACTGGTACACAAATAAAAACATTTTATTTAGGCCTATCTATGGCCTTCAAAAAGATGACGACTCTACATGTTTTGACTGGAATATATAAAATAGAATGTGAATGTGGAAGTATTTACATTGGTCAGACAAATCGTAATTTAAAATACCGCTTAAATGAGCATAAGGGATATGTAAAAAAAATAAAAAACTGAAAATTCATCCATAGCAGAACATGTACAGGAAACACAACATACAATATTGTGAGGAAAAAACTGTAATATTAGCTCAACCTAAAAGTATAATAGGTAATAATATTCGTGAATCGTTAGAAATAATAAAACATAAAAAAAAGATCATGTAGTATTAAATAGAGATGAAGATATGACGAATATTTCTGCAACTTTTTGAACGCTATAGATAGGCCTAAATAAAATGTTTTTAATTGTGTACCAGTTTAACGTTCAATATTATTTATGATTTTAACTTTATACACAAGTGCCAAAATACTATAATTCCGATATAATTTGACTAAATCATGCAGATAAATCAAGCCGTTAAGTACGTGGGTATACTTTTCATATGAAAATATGCATATAAATATTGATACGACAAGAGACAAAATTATGGGCATAGCTATCTAATACAGGTATACTAAATGTATTAATATTTCACTTACCTCCATACCCGTTCACAGAGGCAAAGGTTATCCAAGCTAAGCCTAAGGCGAATACGGTTCTGTGAACCGATGCGTAAAGGATTCCAATAACTACATTTGGTGTGACATCGTTTATCCAATCATAAGCTCCAAATACCACTGCTGCACATGAGATCGTAGTAACCATCCATCCCACAATCACAGTAACCTAAGAAAAATAACTGGTTATGCTGAAAACTAGTCTTTAATATACGATGTCTAATACCGATTAGCCGTGTTCGTTGTTGGTAGACTGCCAAATGTCTACATTCTTATACACAAACTTACTTCTGTTCCACGGAGGGGGGGGGGGGTGCAAAAGGGTAAACAAGTTCCTCGCTGTGTGATGCACAACAAAAATATTTCAATTAATTTAAAAAAACTTTACTTATAAAGTATATTTTATCTTTTTGATATAGTTGACAATTTATTCTAACATCCTTTTACACAAATGGTCAATACAGACAGACAAACGGAAGCACGGACGAACGACCAGACAGATCGGACTATAGATATGGATTTTCTCATTTTTATTCTGAGAGCTTTGCCAACTCTTGTCTTCAGATATTCATTAATTTTACTGATCAAAACTAAGTCTAAACATTTTAAAGTAGCATCAAGTTTAAGCCTAAGTCTATACATTTTTAAGTAACATCAAGATTAAGCTTAAATCTATACATTTTTAAGTAATATCAAGATTAGGACTAAGTCTATTCATTTTAAAATAGCATCAAGATTAGGACTAAGTCTATTCATTTTAAAATAGCATCAAGATTATGACTAAGTCTATACATTTTTAAATAGCATCAAGATTAAGCCTAAGTCTATACATTTTTAAGTAACATCAAGATTAAGACTAAGTCTACATATTTTTAACTAGCATCAATGCTAAGTCTAACTTTTCAATGGACTTACGGGTTTCATCTTGACAGCTTTATATTTCAGCACCAGATAGCCCATGGCCAATCCAATACAGTATGGACCCAAATGGATGTAAGGCATATAGTGAATGTAGTCATTCATGTCTCTCACTCTCCTGAAACCATCAGAGTAGATTTATTGATTGTTGACAGAAGCGATATAAGGTTTTATAACGGATAACCAAAATATTAGGCTTTTTCAAGTTCGTGCACTTTATAAAAAAGAACAAAAGTCAACATTATTTTTTTTATTTGTCCAATTATATTTAATTTTCTGGTGTGTTTCGATTATTTAGACAGTCTTGGAAATTCTATTTGATCGGCCTGTAAAACGGACCAAAATAAAGCTAATTAAACCAAGACTTTGAATATTTCACTGCTACTTACAGATTATTTAGTTATACCTAATCTGTTCTTAAGTGCTGAAAAAGTATAAACTTCGCAAATGAAAAAAAATATTCAAAAATCAATTGATGCTCGAATCTTACCCAACGTCGAAAAACACTATCGATGGCGTAAAGTCCATCCAAAATGTGATTGCTCCAATACTAACACAAGATGCTAGTACACCAAATATGGTAAGACACATTCCAATCCGAGGCCACCTATAAGTCGTATAGAAATATATGGCCTAGATTTTAATTACATGTTTCTCCAAACAAATTTTAAATGAATTTTATGAATAGAGAACTAGAAGACAAGCGCTGTTTAGCGGTTCGTTCATAAATTTATTTACTCACGATTTCAAAAAGAATGCGAATAATGACCACTGATATACATTAAAAAAAATATTTATATATGTACTGAAAAGTAATGATTATATGTTTATGTAAGGTACGTACTCAGAGAAATTTTCCCCAGAACACTGGAGACATCAAATTGGACACTTAAGATAGCCTGGCCCAGATGTATCTTACCTGTAGAAAGCAATAAGAGCGATTGGTGATATCAGGTAGAGCTGCATATCAGCTGCCAGATACCAGTACGGTGTAATACACTGAAAAATAGATTTATTAAACGTCGGTACATAAACTTAAATACGTATGAATATTCAGAATGACAAGTGATTCTAATTTATTCAAGCACGAAGAAGAGATATATCTGACTGCCTTAGATTATCGGATCGAGCATTGTCATTTTATTTTTATATTCTGCGTGACTCTATTTTTCTTTCCTTTCGCCACTATAACTTATTTTTTTATTGTATAAAGTATTTACATTTCCGAATATTTTACATTTGAGCGATTTCCTCTGGAGCAAATCGACTTCCTTCCAAATAGATATTTTACAGAGTTTGATGATGTTAAATTGTTAACACTACGTCTTTACTCTGGAAGAAAAACAAATTTAAAACAGATGTATGTTGAAAGCAGAAAAAACAAATAACATATTTAAGTATGTCAGTAAGAGCTAAGTTTGTGGATGATCTGAGAAACAACAGAACTGAAATTAAAGAAACTTTCTTTTACTAAATACATTAATATGTTATTTCACTAGCTAAAACTGGAGACCATAATTGTTCTCAAATTCAAAGTGGGCTAAAGACGAAGAAGACATTCAACGGAGAGTAAGGATCTCTCTGACATGTCGGGTGAAGATGTGATTGATCGATCCAGTTCCCCAGGCAGTTCGACACCAAGCTTTCTAGCATTACATAAGTAGAAGTATATAATAAAAATTTCAAGCGCACACAAAGCGTTTGCCAACATGTATTTTTTGTTTTCTTCTAATGGTAAGTTATAAGCAGAATTTAACGAAACCAGTACACTTCTCTTCTGAATTATGTATGAAGGTTTGGTATTTCGTGGTAATTATTAAGCCAAGGGTACATAAAGGGCTATGTGCGCTGCTTACAACGGGTGTCGAAACCCAAGTTTTGGCGTCGTAAACCAGTAACTTCCCGCTGAGCCAATTAAGGCTATACATGAAGGACGATTAAATTTATTAGCTATTTGTTACTTAGTTTCCTTAAAGTCGGGTTTAACAATTAGGCTTCTCGTAAATCATTTTGGATTTTCTAATTTTTCATTTTAAATCCTTACTACTCCCATGTTACTGTAAATTTCCTATCTATTTGTATACTTAAACTTAAGGCATTTATAACCGAATTTCTTCTTTATGTCTTTAATATGTCAATTAAGTTTTATCTTCCCTGTTTTCCTTTATTAAGACAGTTTGCTTTTATCTCCCCTGTTATCCTTTATTAAGACAGTTAGCTTTGATCTTCCCTGTTATCCTTTATTAAGAGAGTTTGCTTTGATCTTTCCTGTTATCCTTTATTAAGACAGTTAGCTTTGATCTTCCCTGTTATCCTTTATTAAGACAGTTTGCTTTGATTTACCCTGTTATCCTTTATTAAGACAGTTTGCTTTGATCTTCCTTGTCATCTTTTTTCCTTTTTAGGAACATGCCTATCTTGAACTAAAAACAATGTGTTTTAAATATTCCCCAAAGGTGACCCACATCACCTTTTAACTCATTATATCAATTCACTAACTGACTTTCAGAATATAAGGAACTAAAACCCTACTTCTCAGCATGTAGCAAAACATAAAACTTAATTATGCAATGATCACTCTTTCCAAAATGTTGCTTCCCAGTGGCTCAACAGTATGTCTGCAGGCTTACGATGCTAAAAAAAATTGAGTTTCGATACTCGTGATGGGCAGAGCAAAGATAGCACATTGTGTAATATTGTGTTTAACAAAAAAAACAAACGAATCCAAAAGTTTTCCCTACTCCAACTCTGGCAACCATATCCTCATTTGTGGTTACCATTAAATCCAAAATGTTTCCCTTCTCCAACTCTAGCAACCATATCCTCATTTGTAATTACCATTAAATCCAAAATGTTTCCCTTCTCCAACTCTGGCAACCATATCCTCATTTGTAATTACCATTAAATCCAAAATGTTTCCCTTCTCCAACTCTAGCAACCATATCCTCATTTGTGGTTACCATTAAATCCAAAATGTTTCCCTTCTCCAACTCTAGCAACCATATCCTCATTTGTGGTTACCATTAAATCCAAAATGTTTCCCTTCTCCAACTCTAGCAACCATATC